TAGTTCAAACCGGGATGGTTAACTGGACACTTCCAGATTCATCAAAAGGAACGAAAACAACGAATCAGCAACAAAACGCTAGCACAGTGACAGAAGTAGCACCGCTATTGTTATTATTAGCACTGGTAGTAGTAGTAGTAGTAGTAGTAGTAGTAGTAGTAGTAGTAGTAGTAGTATTAGTAGTAGTAGTAGTAGTAGTAGTAGTAGTAGTAGTAGTAGTAGTAGTAGTAGTAGTAGTAGTAGTAGTAGTAGTAGTAGTAGTAGTAGTAGTAGTAGTAGTAGTAGTAGTAGTAGTAGTAGTAGTAGTAGTAGTGACAGAAACAGCACTAACACTAGTGATAGTGGCAACATTAGTAGTCACGACCCTTATGGTCCTTATGCTACTGCTGCTGCTCGTGATGAGGATAATGACGGCAGCGACGACGACGACGACGACGACGATAGCCGCATGGAGACGGACGAAAACTATCAATGTTGACTGAACACTTCAGTTGAACTCTCCTCTTAAGCCAACAGCCTATCAGGCCCATTAACATCCTGATTACCAAATGGCCACTAGTCTGCCCATCATGAATTACAGAGTCAGCAGTTAGCTACTGAGGTCGAAGTTACGGCTGCAAAATGCGCAGCCACAACCATTCTGGTTTATTTTCACAAAGAAAGAGGGAGATGCGCCCATCTCTACCACAAAATGCTGTATAGCGCTGCAGTAGGGCGTCAAGTTGTGAGGAATTCCGATGTAAGTGAGGTTATCAGTTGGTCTTGTGTACGATGCTGAAAAAGGAAGTAGAGTAGCTATGAGTCGAAGAAGCTGGTCCTTCCTGTCCAGCCAGAGTTAGCGTTCTCTCCAGTATGCCTTTATTTTTACCCTTTTCTAATCAGCATTTTCCCTCAGCACAGACTGATTTAAACACCTGAAAGGTATGAGGACTTCGAGGTAGGAGGTGTCCGCTGACAGGGGATTCTGCTGAAATCGCCTGTCTCACCCCTCCACCTCCTCATCACCGGGACTACTTTTCCTCCTCCACTTCTTCATTACGAGACCCCGGAACCCACAAATCCGTCTCTATTTGTCAAGGTTACTATTTTTTTCCGTATTCGGCGCATGGATATGTTGGAAGCTCATCGGGATATCTTTTATTTTTAACAATTGGAATGGCCGAGCACTTGAGTCATGATTCTTTCTCCTAATATAATTTTGGTCACGATGTACTTAGGTCGAGTTGCGACCTAAATGGTTTTGGTAAGGATCGGGTGAAGGACCCCAAGCATCTGTGGCATACAGCAAATACCTACTATACTTATTTAAGTGGATTTTAGTCCGATGCCACGATTATTTCGGTTTGGTGTTTTATCGTACAGGGCTGAGTCATCCGTTGTAGACGGTCTGATGCATTATCTACAATGACCTCGGCTCAGAGAGTTGAGAAGCTATCTTTGTATACACTTGTTTATTTTTTTAATTGTTCTGCTTAATTTCGGTTGTCGTATGTCAATGTATTAAAAATTTCCCGCTTAAGAAACGAATTCACCCATTCATATTTACCCAACTCTGAAAAACTCGGCGCCTCGGTGGGATTCGAACCTACAGCGAACGCTCTAACCATTTGAGATATGAGGCCCCGCCGGACGACGCGAGTTTAATCACATTTGAATTTACCAATTATCTATACTTATTTTGCCATTCCTCTTTGCACAGATAGGCCCTGTCCGTAAAACCCCTATTACCACCTTTCCCGTAAGACAGGCGCATTTGGCTGGTCGTGTGTGTATGGGGTCCTTCAACCATTGCCAATGTTTTTTAAATGATCTGGTATTGGTTCCCATTCAAAGGAAACAGCATTCTTCTCTATGTCAGTAAGTTTAGTTTTAGTCAGCTCTGCTGCCGTGTGTGCTCAAACCTCTGCATCTAAATAGGCTTTAATTTTCTTATCACATTTTTGTAAATGGCTTTAAGAAAACACATACAAGACCTTAATTTTCCAGCTTATAGTTGTCCCTTTTGAAGGCCAGAGTACTGCCCGCACATCACGCAGCGTCAGCTCCCGTTACCCAATAGGTATTTCGCAAGCCCTTTTGCACTTCGGAAGATCACAAAGCTAAAATATGGACTGAGACTTATTGACACTTTGACTCTACAGGCACTTTTCAGGGAAGGAGGGGAGGCAGGCGAGGAAATCGTCCCCCATTCTTTTTCTAGCATCAGTCCGCGGTAGAGACGTTCCAGAGCACGACTCTAGGAAGTTCAAACTGACTGTACGCTCACCACGTCTTCTGCGGCCCTTCAACTTTTTGCATATCCGTCTTCTCTCACCTATGCACAGCTAACGAAAACCGAGGTGCATGTGGGCAGTTTGCCTGCAGCGTCTCCAACGAATACTACACCGCATCTGCAGATGC